TTGACGACCATACGTAGATTTTTGATAGATTATCATCGGGCCATTACATGTACATGGAAACGGAGTACAAGTGAGAATCAGGGAGAGGAAGGGGGTCGATAAAAAAAAGGTTGATTACACGGGGAGGATTGGGTGGAGCCAGTCTAGGGGAGTGGGGGGCATAGACGGCGCGGAGGAGTATATCCAGCTAAGTGGCTGTGGGCCATGCTGTGGGCTCCACCAAACCTCCCCGCGTAACCAGCCTTTACTTACCCACACCTTTCTCCTGATTCCCACGACTCACTTGCAAGAAAATACGAACATTATTGGCCGCTTTTTAAACTTGTAACCCATTCCCATTCAAATGTAATTTCCCGATGAAAATTTATCCAAAGCTTACGCATGCTCGCCAACTACTCTTCTGAATTCTCTGATGGTAATTTTTGCATTTTTGAAACAGTCCAGGAGTCCCGCTATGTTACAGACATCCAATGGTAGCATAGCACATCGTCTACCTCCATCCTTAGGGGTCAAAGAAAACTAACAATTCTGTTCAAAATTTGATGTCTTCTACGGAAAGCTTTATGCCATCTAATTTTCGGTTAAAAGATAAACAAAGCAAGTTTGGGAAAGGCTCGCCTTGGATTTTCCCATGCAGACTGTAACCTAGTTCATAAAAGGTACTTCTCAATCCAGTCCTTACCATGTTATCTGCTGTTAAGGAAAAACCCGTGGAAATCCGATTAGCTGCAATTTTGTTACCGAGGAAACAAATCTACTCACAAGAAATCCGAAGGTGCTTTATCAACATTTGATTAATTCATTTGATCCAGTTGCGAAAAGCTCGGCGGCCCCGGTGGGATTCGAACCCATGTCAGCAAGGGAAAGACTTTACTACAGGCGATGCTGTTGCCAGCCGAGCTACGGGACCCGCATCTGGATCACTTCACCAGCCCAGCCTGGTCCAGCCCACTGCAACGTATGGAAACCACCAATTATGTTACACAAAGCTGAATGCTTAAGCAGGATTTCCTAAGCAATCGATTTAAAACCCACTAAAGTCGTCGGAATTATGACAGACTTGAATAATCCATTCGACCCAATTGCGTAAAACTCAACGGCAGTCTCAGTGGGATTCGAACCGACGCCAGCAGGGAGTGGGGGAGAGGGCTTCAGTACAAGAAACACTCTAGCCAGCAGGCGTGGGTTCCAACCCCACGGAGATTGCCGTCGAGTTTTTCATAATTGGGCCAGATGAATCATGCAAAATCATTTCGAAAGGCGAACATGACCTCACACTGAGAACTTGTTGCTCACGAGACTGGTTCACGTCACGGGGTCTTGTCAGATGCTTTCGGACCACGGGTTGCTGTGTCGTTACTAGGGCGATAATTTCGGTTGGTTAGCCTAGATTCTGTCGAGACAATGGAATCTTTGCTTTGATTGGCTCTTGATGAATTGGAGCTGAGGTTAGGGGTGGGGCGCAACAGCCACCGCCCCCACCCAGTCCTGCACCCGCTGACGTAGCGTTCGCGGCCGCTATTGAGAGCTAGTGCTGCGGCAGGTCATAATCCGTCCTCAGGGCGTTGCAAACATTGCAGGTCAGGGCGATTACACCAGTCCTTTCGAAGGTAGAGCTCTCGATCAGGCGAATGTTTCGCTAAGTCGGGGCCAGTCAGTTTTGTGGGTATCAGGTAATTTGGTCGCCGGCCACAGATACCCCTGGTCTCCTGGTTCGGTAGTTTCGTTTAGTTTTAGTTTAGCTTTGGGATTTTTATGTAGTTTATTGGTTCACTTTTCGGGTTTAGTTTAATTTATTTTTTTAGTCTAGTTAGATACCGCAAACGTTAGATGAATACGCTCAAATAACTACTATATACTAAACTATACTAAATAAAATAAATTAAACTAAATTAAACCAGAAGTAAAAGAAAACTAATAAGTTAAATACTAGAGTACAATTAAATTAAACCACCACCATATAATTCTGGGTTTATGGGCACATAAATCGGCAATCAACTTAACGGTTACCAAAATGTAACAGTTGTGGTAGTATAGTTCACACAGGCCCTCAATAACCGCGTCTGCTAACGTACTGATTGAAGTAAAAAGTAGTTAATTATTTGCCTGTGACATAAGGCTCCCCCATACTGTTAACCACTGCAACTAAACCAGTTGAATTCTTTTTAGTGGAGGTTCTAATGATGACAGATTACTCACCTTAATCATCCAGTCAAACAATGTTGCCCTGATGCCGGGTGTCAACTGACTTCGCGACAGGCAGGTTGGCTCAAAGTCGAGGGAAAGGATGGCATCGCGGATCAAGAGGTAGTGCAAAATCTAGTTTAAATATAAAGTGAAAGAGATGTTTTTTTTTTAAAAAAAAATCTCTGATATAATTCATTCTGTTAAGTTTACGCATGCCTGATAAGAATTTTGCCAGCACACCGGCGCAAGTTTTGAAGGTTACGAAAATTCAGGGGAAAAATAAACCGCCTGTATAATCGCCTCTTTGCCTCTTCATTGTTCTTTTGGGTCATCATAAATTGTGGTACCTAGATGAAATCGCCACCCTGCAAATTTGCATAAAACATACTTTCGCGGGTACTCTGTCACTTTTGGCCCGAGCAAATCTCCGGTCGTCTTACCCTTTTCTTGCAATCAGTGTACGGAGGGTGGAGAAAGGAAAAATGTGGTGGTAGATGGGCACAAATTTACCTCACTGGAAAAGTGTACGGGGTGGGCGTCTTCGTTCGCGATGGTCGAGCCGTTGTGACATGACCTCTTTGCAGGGAGGCAATATGCGACTCTACAACGATAGCTCAACGGGCAGTACGGGACCGGTGGTGGTGCCAAGGGAAGGAAAACAGAACACCAACCGAAGCCTAAGGCGGTCTCTTGTGTTCGTTAGAGTTAGCATTCCTTGACACGGGTGAGTTGGGTCACACAAGAGTTTGTTGTCCCCACACGTATGCAGCTTGCGAGAGCCGGTGGCTTTACGTGACACCGACCACTATGCGTGATATCATTCCTAGCCAACCTGAGCGAATTGATCAGAAGTCTTACACCCAAACTATTGAGACATGGGCTCGTTGTCTTGCCAGTTTAGATGGGAGGCAGTAACACTCGTTAATAAAGGTTCGCCGATCACCGAACAGAACTCACTCGTTGCGTTCTGACAGAGGGCTCGCTCTCGAACTCCACCAGCAGCCACACAGCGGCTAGTAGCTTAAGCAGATAACATTAGTCGATAAAAAACAGTACTAATAAAGCACACGACTAATGATCCTCAGTACACTGCAATGAAGCAGCTTGTCAGGGATTTAATACCGAGCTCAGAACAGAAAGGTAAATGTCCAAAAAATCTCGACAGAACCGCAATATGCGACCCCAGTCAGGCACTAAAGGTCAATACGGGATAGGTGGTATTTGGGGTTTTATGCGTTGTATAGTGCCAACTGAACCTTAG